GGGTATGTGGGGTGCCATGGCAGCCCAAGGTCTGCCAAACTCTGCAGCCACGCAACGCCTTGAAATCACCTCTGACAAAGGGCTGATAACGCCCTGCGTTTCAGCCAAGCTTCCAAAAGTCATGTTTTTGAACTAAAACACTCCTTTCTGTTGTCTCGCAACATCCAGCTGCCCCACGTCACGGGCCAAAACGAAGCAGTGGTATCAGTCTGCATCATGATCCCATCCGGGTAAAGGCACCATCAGGTGTCGTGGTGCTGAGCAAGGCAGCCACAGTTTCCCAATCCTCCCTGCAGTGGTTATTAAGTTGTAATTGTTTTGTGCTGAATCAGGGAGTCTCTGCCCCAGCGAAACTCACTGGGTGGCTCTTGTAGAGTTCATCGATACAATTCCACCTCGGCATACGCAGGTGAGGCCGATGGAAATCGACGGGAGCGTTTGACCTAATTCCAGGACAAACGTGAGCCCTGTGGGTCAGGCTGGAGCTCTTCTGGCTACGCCTGTTCTTAGAAACTCTCTTCCCACTGCCTTTAAAACAGTCTGGGAGAAGGCTGAGGGCACAGACCAGAGCTGCCAACAACGCCGGCGGCTGAAGAGGGCTCCCAGCACAAAATCACTGCTCGAAGGAAGGGGAGGGTGTGAGGGAGGAGCTGTCAGCCCCTCACCTCAGCAGGGCCCTGCGGACTTCCAGCATCTGATAGCAGGGGTGTGTGCACGGAACGCCTGCAGGAGATCCCTGCCACCTTGGGCGACAATACCTCTGACCACGCAGGAGGAAGATGGCACAGCGTAGTGCGCCGACAGGAACTGCACGCAGAGACAGGGACTCCTCCAGGCTCTGAGTCACACTGACCTCCCAGGGAACAGGGCAGCGGCTGGACCCAAACACAGACGGGCGTAGGAGCGGGGTTACACACCCACAGGGTTGTATGACCGCGAGCAGGCATTCACCAGCTGCTGCCACCGGGGTCCCAGTCACCTCCCCAGAGTGTCTCCCTCTGCATAAATTATTAGCAGTTCTGGGGGAATTAAGAGCCACACTGAGGAGCCTGCATTGTTGGAAAAGGCTTTTTTTTTTTTTTATTGCTTAGCCTCCTCACCATCTCCAAAAGGAATTAAAAATTTATCAAATGAAATGCATCTAAACCTGTTGCTATTACAGTTCTGAAAACCTCGATACTCAACACCGCGTGCTTCACACGCTCCTGTCCACCGAGCAGACTTTCTGGCACCTGGCACTTTTGCACAGAGGCTAAAGCAAATATGGTACCTGGATATCCTGGTGGAAAGCTCCCACAGTACGGCCTGGAAAGCAATGATGTCCTCAGCTTGGAGCACAGCAGCCACAGGACTGGAAGGCTCATGAGGAATTTTTAGCTTCTTTCTTTACTCAGAGATCTCTCACTTGCAAAAGACAGTGTTCCACAGCCAGGAGAGAGGATGTCAGGCTGAAACAGAGGGGGCTGCAGTACAGCCCTGGTGAGACTATCAGATACAGTGCACTGGTACTGGTGCCCAAACTTTAACATTGCATGATGCTGTGTGGCCAAAACAGCACGGCCACCACAGCACGAGGCTGGGGTACCATCTGCAGTGCTGCTCTGGGGCTTTCTGTGACCTCCAGCTGATGGAACTGTGTTCCAGGCAGAATTTTCTGCTCTCGAGTGCCTGGAAACTTTACTCCGGGTGGACGACCTTATGGCTGTGCCTTGTGCAGATCAGAATCTGGTCCGATGGTTGCTGCCATAGCTGAATGACAGAGGCTCAGGACACCACCACTGATCTGATTAGCTTATTCTGGCCTTGACTGACCTCAATGACTCTCCACCCATTTGACTGGTGTATCACACTGGTTCTTAACACGTGACAAGAGGATCACCAGCAAAGTGTTTCCTAACAGTCCACAGGTCAGCCAAAGATGACACGGCAAAGGCAGACTAGTGGTCCACAAGATGAGAAAGCTGGAGAACCAGTGGCTTCAAGAACAAAGCACTGGGTATTCCAGTCCAGAAATGTCTGGCAAGGCCGCAAACACTTGACTGCTGTAAATTTTGTTATTATGCCTGAGCCACCTGATTGGGTAAAGTGTGTAACAGCAAATAAAGTGGTCAACTACCCAAGGTTCCAGTAATCACAGGCTCTATTTTCTGTAATATTTCATTAACCAAGAGCACAAATCCTGAGCAAAGCTGTTCCCTTCATCCCATGCCATTTCCACACGGGACAGCAACTTCAGTGATTAACATCAACTGGCAACTTGAAGTCCTTCAGCGAATAAAAGGCAACGTCTCCGTGATCCACCAGCGCAAAGACCACCGGGACGTCCCCACTCTGATACGTAACCTGCTTCAAAGCCCGAAGGGATGGAATCTGCTCGTCAAAGCTGCAGAGAGAAAAACACCCCGTTGTTTTCAAAGCAAGAAGAATAGAGAGACAAAGCTGTCCTGGCCAATAGCTCACTTGTGTTAGGAGTTGGTCGTGACCCTCCCCAGCCCTTTCAGTCAAAGGAGGAGGCTGCCAGCTTGAGAGAGTATCTGCATGGCGGGAACTGGGAGCTGTCAAGTCCTTTGCCAAAAACAAGGGCAACTGCACACTGCTCCACACTGTGCCTATTAGATGCAGCTCACGGGGCTGCTGGCAAATTGCCAACCTAGTGCAATCCTAGTGCTAGGAAGATCTTTAGATTGCTGGGATCAACATCTGACCTGATTTTCCCTCCTTTTAATTCTGCACTCTGTTTGCTCGTAAATGAAAATATTTATGCAGCAAAGATCATCTCACTTGCCCATAACAGGCACTGTAAAACTGTATTAGCACCTTGCTCGCTCTGGCTACTACAGCCACAGACAGCAGAGGAGGGAGAGCTTCAGCATTATCAACGTCAGAAAAGGCAGAGACTGAACTTTGTACCTGTCTGTGGAGTTTAAGTATCAGATTCCTGATCCAGCAAGAAAGGGGACACCTATCCTCTGTTTGTACTGATCTTAAAGTTACATTTGACAAAGATCAAAATACTAAACCCATGGCCCTGAGCCTGTAGCAAGCTCTGGGGAGGTACGTCTCTGCAGAAATCCATAGGGATCTGTACTGGCTGAGGATTCAGGTGCCACAGGGCTCCCTGCAAAACTGAGCTCTGCCTGAGTTTCACAAGCATTGCAAACACAGCCGTGGCTTCTTATTCTGACTGATAATACTCAGACATGAGCAGCAACCAGATGACCAAATATGTGGGCTGAGTGCAAGGGCTGGGAGAATTTTCAGCCACAGCCTCCAACAAAAGAGGAACTGAAAGGGAAGAAGAAAAAAACCTCAATCTGGGCAGGACCACCCTCAGGGGAGGCACTCTGATCATCTGCAAAACTCACAAGATGCGGGGTCATTCACACATCATTAGGACTTCATTTCCGCGACAGCAACTATGTTGCAGAAGACAGCGTAAGACCGGTGGATACCTGCGAACACACATCCTGACATATGGCTTCCCAGGGTTTGTCTTCTTAAACTTGGCCACAGCACCTGCCTGATACACATTGAAGTCAATCTTCAAGCCCTCTGTGCCCTCCTGCAGCCTACGGAAGAGAGAACACATCCACATGCATATGGGATTGAAAGACTAGGGTATAGATACAGCAGAGGAAAGAGGGAGCAAAAGCTCTTGAAGCCTGGCTAGTCTGGGCCCTTGGAACGGCCTCACTTCTCAAAGGACCGACCCTGCCACTGTTACTTTAGAGATCTTTCCTGTAGTCAGAGCAGGCTCCTGCCCAACACCCGGCACTCCCTCCTCTGCAGACCCCCTTGCAAGAAGCACCATCAACAGATACAGAAAAAAGCACTGCTCTGCCCTACAAGGACTGCACACAAACACCAGACTCTTTGAGGCAGGAGCAGAATCAAAAGCCCCAGAGCCAAGGTTTTATCATCACTGCAGCAGGGATGGCAGCACATTCCAGGCCCGAGGCACAGGCAAAACCCAACCAAAGCTCTGGGGGAGATTACCTGGCTGGGGTGCAGAGGGAATGGCAGGAAAAGAGAGCAACCCCGATGTTTTAACCGGCCTGGAATGCTCTAGCTGTCACTGCAGGAACCAGTACTTCACAGAAATGTGAGCCACTCACTACAGAAGCAATGGGGTCAGGGAGCAGAGGGCTGGATTCTCTCAGCACCCTGGAAGCCAGGCAGCTCCCAAACTGCCGCTGCAAGCATCTCACAGACCTCACAAGCAGGGACAGTCACAAGACACCCCCACTCCCTAACAGCTACGAGCTGGCTGGCTGGATACTAACCGGGAGGCTCCATCCAGGATGTGGGAGGGCTGCAGCACACTGATCTGCTGGAGGAGCGCAGCTGGAGGGAGAAGGAACAGGAAAGGATCAGACCAACTATTTTTCTCCCAGGGCACTCCAAGCGCTCCACCACCACCCACGAGACAATGGCTGGCAGCACCACAGTCACCACTGGCTACTTCAAAGACCTCAGCTTCCTCATCTCCTCCCAGCACGCAGCCCAGAACACCCTGCAGTCGCTTTGCATTGTGCTGGCCCCAATTTCACATGCCTAACAGCCTAGCAGGAAGGATTGCAATACAGTAGGACATGGGGAATGGATTAGAAGACCTCCCAAGGCCCTGTTTATCCTGGCACTTGAGTGGGCTATAGAAAGAGAGGGAAAGGCAGAGAACAAGCTTTATTCCCTCTTCCCGTGTCCATGGCTGGGGTCCTCTGCGCCCCCAGGCCTTCTAATGAGATTCTCCTTCTCAAGGTACTGTCCCCAAAATTGATGTTCAGCTTCTCTATGTCATCCCTTTTGCTGTTGCATACCAGGCAACGTTTCACAGAGTTGAGGGACGACAAGGGGGACCCCTGTCAAGTTTCCAGAGCCACTACCTGATGAAGTAGCGTCCTCTGGCCGCAAGAGCGGTGTGACAGCTTGGTCCCAGAGATGCGGCGGTCGTTTCCAAACCCTCTGCTGGCTCCTCTGCTTCAAAAGGGCTTTGTACTCCTGCCAGTTGGAGCAGCGCCTCACCTCCCGGTCAGCATTGACACTGCTCTTGTACCTGCTCTCCCTCTCTCGCTGCTCCCTTTCCTTCCGTGACAGCTTCTCCTGTTTCTGATTGATATGTGCGCGCCAGCAAGCTGCATCAACTTCCCTCCCTGGTACGTTCTCCGGCAGGAGCCCGCTGTCGGGTGAGGGCAGATGTGTGCACGGCTGGTCCGGGGCCACATTCGGCAAGATGATGGTGGCAAAATCCCAGCGGGGTGCACGGGTACCAGTGCTGCGCTCCTTGCGGTCTCCAGCCTGGCTCCTCAAGGGACTCAGGGAGTCCTTTTGTCCTGTATCAAGAGGAACTGGGCTTGACTCGCCCTCTCCACTGCCAGTATCTGATTCCTTTGGCTGCTCTGACAAGGGCTTTTCATCCACAGGAAGGCTGTGGGAGTCTCCACAGTCATCTCCAGCTTTTTCAGAGGTCCCTTCAGTTTCTGGAAGGTCCTCAGATACCTTATGTTTCTTCTCATGCGACCTAAAGACAGAAGCACCAGCATAAAAGACACGGACAGCATGTGGTGGAACTTTATTCCCTTTGATTCCGGCCTCCTCCCTGCTAACAGGAAGAATGCAGTCTGCCAAGCCTAAAGGAAGGACAGCAAAGGCGGCAGGAACACCCAGACAGACCTGCAAACCTTTGACAACAACCTCTTGACTGGAAGGAAGATGTTTGCTTGTGTGACAAAACGAGGAGGGAAAAAACAAGCAGTGAATGCCAAAGGCAGAATAAGCTTCTCAGCAGTTCTGCCTGAGGTTTGAGATCAACGCCCAGGAGAATCCCAGGCTCGATTTGTATAGACACACCTTCCCAACAGCCACGCAGCCTCCACACCCCCCACGTACCGACCCAAACACGTCCACACAAACACAGACTTCAGCCAAACCTCCACAGGCCAGGCAGAAACCTTCCTGCCAGCACCTCTTACGGGTATGAGATTCACTCCCTGGTCCCAGAGAAGATGGGGTAATTCTGAAACCAGTTTTATCTCCCAATTCTTAAAATTTCGCAACTGCTCGGGCACTGATTTACCTGTTAACAGGAAAGGACTTGCAGAGCAGTCTCGTCCTCCCTGTTTCTTACAGGATGACGCCACCTACTGGAACCTGATGTAATTATTAGCAAAATTATTAATTATGCAGCATCTGTTTGCATTTTGGCAACATCTAGAGGCCACGTACAAGGACCAGAGCCCAGTTATGCTCTCTGCTGTACAGTCCTAGCACGTAAGCTGCGCCGAGGGGGTGAGTAAGTGCAAGGCATGCACTGCAGTGTCTGTACTCCCTCTATAGAAGAGCAAAGGAGGCATCTGCCACGTGTTCCCTTGGCACTGACCTCCCTACCTTTTTATTTTGGCATCTGACCACAGCAGTTGGGAGGCTCAGGGGCAGTTTGCCCCTCTTAGCCCTGCATGAAGTACAGATGTGACAGAGGGGAGCACTGCAAAGAGTTCAGAATAAGCGTTGCGCTGCCTGGGGACAGCCAAGAGCAGCTGTGCCAGGCAGGTCACCCAAACAGCACAAAGGCCTGAGGATACTGTAGGACAGTAGCTGTTCCTGAGCCAGTGAGGCCTGGAAGATGGAAGGATGTGCCACATCCTTACCGGGGGCTGGAACTCCTCCTCCTTTTGCGATGGTGTTTCCCAGAGCTCTTGCAGTGACTTTCCAAGTTCAGTTGCCTCTCGTAGGGAGATAGGACAGTGCTGGAAGGAGACACCAACATGGGCTAAGAGCAGGGCGAGGTAGTGAAACTACCCTTCTGCTCAGCCCCCAGAATACAGCAACAAAGATTTTTTCTTCCAGGCACAGAAAATCCACAAGCAGGACCAGGATGGTCCTCAGTTCACGCCCCATCTCACATTCCCAATCAGCTCCTCAAGAGGGAGAAGCAGGGAAGGGTAGAGTGCCACTTTTAGTCTTTGATCCTCCCAAAAGATGGAATGTGGGGTCAAAGTCCTCTTCTCTGCCATTCCACCGGGGCCATGCAGTGGGCACAGAGCTGCTCAGTCTTCAGAAAGGAGAAAGCAGCACGGAAAGGAAAAGCTGGTTACCTGGGGTCGAATCTCAGTACAATATAACCCAGTTGCTTCAAGTGGCTGAACACCTTAGAGCAAAGGAAAGCAAGAGGGTTACATGACCACCCTAAACCCAAGTAATTTACTTCAGTTTCACTACAGCTGGGTGAACAGTGTGGCACTGGCAGAGGAGAAAATGCCAGGGTTAGGACCCAAAGCAAAGGTGGGGAAACAGGAACTGATCATCTGGAATAAGGTCAGTGGGAAAAACTGAGAATGACTCCCCTTCCCTCCCTAACTGTCCAACTCTGCTCCCAGATGCTGGAAGAGATTGAATGGCAGAGGCTTGGCTCTCTGCCTTCATCCTCCCTGCAATAGCTGGGGATCGCAACACACCTGGTAATGTGGCAGGCTCATGGCCTCCTGGGACAGCAGGATTTCATAGGCTTCCTGGATCGACATGGGCAGATCCCTGTAAAAGAGCTGAATAGAGCCCTGCAGGGCAAAACCTTGGTGTTGAGAGAATCACAGGGAATAAAGCTATGCAAGCTCACACCAGTCTCTTCCCACTGGTCCAGACACCTGGTCCCAGCACCTTCCTTCACATCATATCCATGTATCTCCATGCGCTACCTGGCTTACTCCCATTCCCAGTTCCCCCCACGCCCTGATTTTAGCAGCCAGGCAAGAAGTTCCCACCCACACCTGTCAGCTCCTGCTCCAGCGCTGCATCCGTTTGCAGGATGCCGCTGGGAGCGCAGTGCTCAACTGTTAAAATAATCATTGCTTTGGGAGATCATTTTCTTTAACTCCGATGATCTCAGTGATTCAGGACACAGCACAACTACAAAACCATTTAGCACCAGCACAACTGAGAGGAATTGGTGGCATCCTCAGATGCCATCCATTGGTGGCTCCTCAGAAGCACTCGCTGCAGCCCCAGTGATCCCACAGGTAGATTCCTCAGCAACTAACATCAGGAAGGCAGTTTTAAGCTATGCCACTTTTTCCTATGTCTGTTGGGGTTTTTTTAGAACATGTTTACTCATAAAGAAAGAAACCAAAACACTAGGAACCACACCTCTCCAACGTATGGGCTGAAAACATCTAACTGCTCTTTTCTGCTTTTGGGGAAGAGATTTTTTACTCAGCAACTATTTTATTTTCATCAATTTATTTATAATCTATTTGTCAAAATGCCAGAGGTAAAAAAATGCCCTACCTCTGCAGTTAGGATGTAAGGGATGGCATCAGATGCCCATAATCTAATTAAGTTTTTCTAAGGGAGAAGAGCTCCCCTTCAGATTGGTGCACCTATTCTACTGGTAACAGGCTTCAGTGGTGCGACAGAAACACCCCTCTCTGCAGCAAAGAAACCCAACCAAGCCCTAACCAGCAGTTCTGCAAGCAGAGGAGCACTGGTCTCATTCCCCTGTCTGCCACATTCAAACTTCTTTCTGCTGTACATCCTGGGAAGAGATGCCAAGTAGCAACCTCAAAGATCTCTGCTTACGTGCAAAGCACGTACAGCACTGGCTGCTATATAACTGCTTCCCACGCCAACACCCTTCACACGGAAAGATCCAATTTGCTGCCTAAACGTGGCCCTACCAAGCTGGACAGAGTTCACTAATTCCCATCAGCTCCTCCAAGAAGCACAGAAAAACTGCGCTAAATGAACTTATGAACCCTGCCACTGCAAAATACCTAAGATGAGCTGGAGGAAGTCAACTTATGGCAGAGAAGGCACTGACCAGTCCCAGATATCCTCATTTACTGTACATCAGTTCTGGGGAAAAGCATTTCTCGGGGTCAAACCTTTTATTCCAATTAACTCCTGCAAGGAACAGAAGATAATGGTTTTATCTGGTTTCCAGAAATTCCTCAACAGTAAGCTTCCCTGGGTTGTGGAAGATCAAGTCCCTCTATACAGATTTCAGTAAAGAACTAACCGATAAAGTGTTTCATCACTCCCAGAGCAAGAAAGCAGAGATCTCAATGGAAAACTCTGTAACATGCTCCTCATGCTTCCTTCATTCTGACACGAGAACTGACTTATTCCTGCACAGAAGTTTGGATCAGCTGAAACTCTCCTAGTCTCGATAGGAACAGGTTAAACACGACACCAACTGGGAAAGCTTGCCACCCCTCCAACTAACGCACGGTCAATGACACAGAGGCTGCTCCAGAGCACAACATACAAACCCACGGCCTGGAGACAAACAGCTCCATTGGCAAACCGGCTAAAAGAGACAATTCCTCGAGAACCAGGTGTTTACCAGCTGCTCCTCTCCTAGTCTCGATAGGAACAGGTTAAACACGACACCAACTGGGAAAGCTTGCCACCCCTCCAACTAACGCACGGTCAATGACACAGAGGCTGCTCCAGAGCACAACATACAAACCCACGGCCTGGAGACAAACAGCTCCATTGGCAAACCGGCTAAAAGAGACAATTCCTCGAGAACCAGGTGTTTACCAGCTGCTCAAACTGCAACAGTGACCAAGACACGTCAAGTGATTTCAGACTTCAGTCTAAAGCTGCTACAGTTTCTCCAATCATTCTGGAAGAACCCAATGCCCCCATCCACACACAGGTATCCTACTTACACACTCCAGCAGGTACAGAGCTTCCTCGGGCAGCAGGCACTGTTTGCCATGCTCTGTGAACCCCATGGTGTGCCAGAACTTCCCCTGGAAGAGAAGCACAAATCCATGATGGGCTCTGGCTGTTCCCTGCTGACAACCAGGCACTCTCCCATTTCAAGCAGCAAATTAAGGAATCTGCAGCGGTCAGCAGGAGACAACGGCACCGAGTACACGCTGCAGCAGACTCACCGCAGGGGACTGCAGCTCTACGATGCCCTGTCCTGGCTCCCACTCAGCTTTCACCAGACTCCTCCTGAGAAGGTTAAAGATTAGTTCGTTATTACTAGCATATCCTACAATCAACTCCTGTTGTAACAATACAACCAGCTCAGGAAGGTATCAAAAGGCAGCAAACTTCCAGGTGGCATTTTTACCCTTACAGGGTAAGGCCTCAGAAAGACGACATCCTCAGGATCTAGCAATACCAGCTGAAGGTTTTACCACCACCAGCTAGTTAAGAGCGTCTTCAGTCAGCACCACAGACGTCTGTCCATAGGTTACAGCAGCCTGCTGGAGATGCACAGCCATGACGTATCATACGATCGTTTGGATGCTGCCAAGACTCTCAAATCGCTGTAGCCCACTCACACGGTCTCACAGGAAAAAATTAATAGCTGAGAAAAAGGGGAGGGTGACCTTGGAGGAATGCAAACATACATTTTTAGCAGCTGGCTCAAGAAAACACAAAGTAAGACCTGTAGAGTCCATCATGGATTTGCTCTATATCAGCACTGGTGAGGCCACACCTCAAATCCTGTTCAGTTTTGGAAGTCTCACTAGAAGAAAAACACTGAGGTGCTGGAATGTGTCCAGAGAAGTGCACGGAGCTGGGGAAGGGTCTGGAGCAGAAGTCCTGTGAGGAGCGGCTGAGGGTGTTCAGCCTGGAGAAAAGGAGGCTCAGGGGAGACCTTATCGCTCCCTACAACTTCCTGAAAGGAGGGTGCAGAGAGGTGGGGCTTGGGCTCTTCTCCCAAGTAGGACATGAGGAAAGTTGTGCCAGGGGAGGTGTAGATTGGGTAGCAGGAAAGATTTCTTCACGGAAAGGGCTGTCAGGCATTGGAACAGGCTGCCCAGGGAGGTGGTAGAGTCACCACCCCCGGAGGGATTTGAGAGGCATGTGGATGTGGTGCTTGGGGACATGGTTCAGTGGTGGATTTGGCAGTGTTAACAGTTGGACTCGATGATCTTGAAGTCTTTTCCAAACCAAGCAATTCCATGATCTTTAGTCAGTTCTGCAATTTCTCTATCTGAAAGGAAACCAAAACCTACACACTCGTGCTCCCATCCGGAGCTGAGAGTCCTCGCTCCCAGACACGCATTTACAGATGGACTTGAACAAACCCGACTGGGACAACAGTGGAAGATAACGGTCCACCCTGACCGTGAATAGTTTCTGCTGCTACTGCCCAGCACAGATAAATTATTACCAGAAAACAGCAGGCCAAACAGGGAAAGCGTGTGCTCAAAGGTAGCATGGGAAATTCTCCCGAGAAATTTTAAGCTCTGGAGACTGGTAACGCTGCTGAAACCACCCCCCACCCCAACCGATAAACCAGGGACACCGAGTGTCGGCAGAATCTGCACAAGGCCACACGCGGGCATTAGCAAAGGGCTGTGTAACTCCCACCGTGCCCAAGAAGGCAGTGCCGAAGGCTACAGGATTATTCATGCGCCTGAGAAAACGAAGGGCCCGTTGAGGGGCTTTCTGAACACCCGCACTGAAGCCAGCCGTGTGCCAGGACGACCCTCTGCTCCCGAGGGAACAGGAGCATGTCCCCCGCTGCTGCGCCAACCCGGGAGCCGCGAGCAGGGGAACGAGGGGACGGGGAAGGGAACCGACTGCGCTAACGCCTGCCCGCTGCTAACAGCTCGACGCCCCTCACCATAACACCCGCACGCACAGCCACTGTGTCTGACTTCTCCCAGGGAGAAAAGAATTC